ATCATACACCGACACACACTGAGGGGGACTCTATATAGCATTATATCATACACCGACACACACTGAGGGGGACTCTATATAGCATTATATCATACACCGACACACACTGAGGGGGACTCTATATAGCATTATATCATACACCGACACACACTGAGGGGGACTCTATATAGCATATCATACACCGACACACACTATATAGCATTATCATACACCGACACACACTGAGGGGGACTCTATATAGCATTATATCATACACCGACACACACTGAGGGGGACTCTATATAGCATTATATCATACACCGACACACACTGAGGGGGACTCTATATAGTATTATATCATACACCGACACACACTGAGGGGGACTCTATATAGTATTATATCATACACCGACACACACTGAGGGGGACTCTATATAGCATTATATCATACACCGACACACACTGAGGGGGACTCTATATAGCATTATATCATACACCGACACACACTGAGGGGGACTCTATATAGCATTATATCATACACCGACACACACTGAGGGGGACTCTATATAGCATTATATCATACACCGACACACACTGAGGGGGACTCTATATAGCATTATATCATACACCGACACACACTGAGGGGGACTCTATATAGCATTATATCATACACCGACACACACTGAGGGGGACTCTATATAGCATTATATCATACACCGACACCCACTAAGGGGGACTCTATATAGCATTATATCATACACCGACACACACTGAGGGGGACTCTATATAGCATTATATCATACACCGACAAACACTGAGGGGGACTCTATATAGCATTATATCATACACCGACACACACTGAGGAGGACTCTATATAGCCTTATATCATAGACCGACACACAATGAGGAGGACTCTATATAGCATTATATCATACACCAACAAACACTGAGGGGGACTCTATATAGCATTATATCATACACCGACACACACTGAGGGGGACTCTATATAGCATTATATCATACTCTATATAGCATTATATCATACACCGACACACACTGAGGGGGACTCTATATAGTATTATATCATACACCGACACATACTGAGGGGGACTCTATAAAGCATTATATCATACACCGACACACACTGAGGGGGACTCTATATAGTATTATATCATACACCGACACACACTGAGGGGGACTCTATATAGCATTATATCATACACCGACACTCTATATAGCATTATATCATACACCGACACACATAGTTATATCAGTATCAGTTAATAGTTATATCAGTATCATTAATAGTTATCAGTATCATTAATAGTTATATCAGTATCATTAATAGTTATATCAGTATCATTAATAGTTATATCAGTATCATTATATCAGTTATATCATATCAGTATCATTAATAGCTATATCAGTATCATTAATATCTATATGAGTGTCGTTAATAGTTATATCAGTACCATTAATAGTTATATCAGTATAGTTATATCAGTATCATTAATAGTTATATCAGTATCATTATATCAGTATCATTAATAGTTATATCAGTATCATTAATAGTTATATCAGTATCAGTATAGTATCATAGTTATATCAGTATCATTAATAGTTATATCAGTATCATTAATAGTTATATCAGTATCATTAAAGTTATATCAGTATCATTAATAGTTATATCAGTATCATTAATAGTTATATCAGTATCAGTTATATCAGTATCATTATAGTTATATCAGTATCAGTATATAGTTATATCAGTATCATTATATCATAGTTATATCAGTATCATTAATAGTTATATCATTAATAGTTATATCAGTATCATTAATATCTATATGAGTGTCGTTAATAGTTATATCAGTACCATTAATAGTTATGTATCGTTATATCAGTATCATTAATAGTTATATCAGTATAGTTATATCAGTATCATTAATAGTTATATCAGTATAGTTAATAGTCATATCATTAATAGTTATATCAGTATCATTAATAGTTATATCAGTATCAGTTCATTAATAGTTATATCAGTATCATATAATAGTTATATCAGTATCGTTAATAGTTATATCAGTATCATTAATAGTTATATCAGTATCGTTAATAGTTATATCAGTATCGTTATATCAGTATCGTTAATAGTTATATCATTAATAGTTATATCAGTATCATTAATAGTTATATCATATCAGTATAGTTATATCAGTATAGTTATATCAGTATCATTAATAGTTATATCAGTATAGTTATATCAGTATAGTTATATCAGTATCATTAATAGTTATATCAGTATCATTAATAGTTATATCAGTATCATTAATAGTTATATCAGTGTCGTTAATAGTTATATCAGTATAGATATATCAGTATAGTTATATCAGTATAGTTATATCAGTATCATTAATAGTTATATCAGTATAGTTATATCAGTATAGTTATATCAGTATCATTAATATATATATGAGTGTCGTTAATAGTTATATCAGTATAGATATATCAATATCTTTAAGATGTATAAATCAGAAATAAATATTATTGTTAACTGGACTGATATAAAAGGTATAGAAAAAGAAGGAGAGAAACAAACCCAGAACCCAGTCACCACGGTGACGTCACATTGTAATTCAGAAAGAGGAGTTTTTTATTGCCAGAATGTCAGTCTATCGTCCAGTCACTCAAACAGAATTATTCCTACTTCCTATATTAAAACGTCGTGCGCATCACGTAGCGGACACGTGTTCGTATGGGATATGGCCAATTAGCCTTCAAACAAAACACTGGCCCCTAAAGCCTACTCAGCATCGTGAGATCATAGACTTTGATGTTATATGAAGAAAAATGTGTCTTTTATGGATAACCTGAGACAGTAAGTAAACTTACTTTTAATGTCGTTAAGATTTTCATTGTATACTAAATATGCCAGATTATGTAAGTAAGAATCACAGGAATAAGCGAGTAACCTTAGCCCTCATGGACTCCGTTGAAAGTGAACCTACCAAGACCTAAGTTTATAAAAAGAATAGGAACAAACTAGTTCTCACTTCTTTGATAACTATATTTTGAGTACGACTGGTTGCTATGGGGACAGGTTTTAAGCTGACAACATTGTTACGTAGGAAGTCTTTATAATAAAGTGTTGGACTCAACTCTGTTGTTAAGGTAAGGGGTTTGTCCAGACCCGTGTTTCTAAAGGAACTATATCTAGGTCATACTTAGATGAGAAACTGAAACACATCCCGAATTTATATGGTACAGCCATCACAGAACATCACAGACATGGACCCGCCATTATACCACGTAAACACCACTGTCCAGGGTGACTGACTGGTCGTTTTGTGATTATGTTGACGAGACACATCCCTTTAGATTGGCGGTTACTGACTAGGCAGAATTACTGACCAGTGGAAATCTGGGAGGTTGACAGGACTAATCCGTGAATGGACAAGACTACAATTGTTGAAGGAACATACATTTTGATTGTCTGAGAAGGATGTTAAGAATTCGGAGTTATGAATCATTTGTCATTTATCGCACCTATCTCTGTTTAAAAGGTCTTTTTAACGTTTTAGTTAAATTTAAAAACATTAAATTAATCATTACAATTACTTTCATTCTTATTTTCTGGAAATGTGATATTTTCTCTGTTCTGTTAAGACTGTGCGTAATGAGGACATCAGAGTCCGTCAGTTAGCAAATGATGACAAATTTCACCATTTCAAAGATTGTACGCAAGAAGTGAAAAGTACCTTTAAATAATTCAGATTTAGATACAACAGAGCCAAATAATGAATGAAACTGCATCATACACCTGTTTCGTCCTTCTAAAACTCGTCAGTGATGGTACACCATACACCTGTTTCGTCCCTTTAAAACTCGTCAGTGATGGTACACCATACACCTGTTTCGTCCTTCTAAAACTCGTCAGTGATGGTACACCATACACCTGTTTCGTCCTTCTAAAACTCGTCAGTGATGGTACACCATACACCTGTTTCGTCCCTTTAAAACTCGTCAGTGATGGTACACCATACACCTGTTTCGTCCTTCTAAAACTCGTCAGTGATGGTACACCATACCCCTGTTTCGTCCTTCTAAAACCCGTCAGTGATGGTACACATACACCTGTTTCGTCCTTCTAGGACTCGTCAGTGATGGTACACCGTACACCTGTTTCGTCCTTCGAGAACTCGTCAGTGATGGTACACCGTACACCTGTTTCGTCCTTCTAGGATTCGTCAGTGATGGTACACCATACACCTGTTTCGTCCTTCTAGGACTCGTCAGTGATGGTACACCATACACCTGTTTCATCCTTCTAGGACTCGCCAATAATGCTAAGGACATAAATGTTGAAGCCAGTTAGCGACTGACGAAAATTTCAAAGTGATCGGAAAGAAAGTCAAAAGGTAGAAGGGGAGGTGCACCAGCAAAATCATAATTTTCAATATATCAGATAATTTTAGAACAGCGTCAAGTACATGTGTACATGTGAAAGGCAAATTCTTGTAGAAGATCATATCACTGATACAACACGGACTACTGCTGTATAAATACGCCAAACCTTGGAGGGCATTAGCAATGATTTGAAACTAAAATACTGTAATTATGTGTGAGGACATTCATTGTGACAAGGGAGTATCATTAGCGAGTACGGGACAGAGTTTCAGTGTCCAATTGAACTAACGTTATTCAGAATCCCTGACATAGAGCTCACTTTAAGCAGCCACCGATAAAGGTTGTCAGGGTAGTCATGGTAACAAAATAGCATGGTTACCATGGAAACAACCAAATAAGGATTATCATAGAAACACAAAAATCAAGGTTGTCTTGGTATTTAACAGATCAGGGTTGTCTTCGAAGCACACAAATCAAAGTTGTCGAGTTAACACACAAATACCATTGTCAAGGTAACATACAGATCAAACCATGTTAGTAGTGTCCATCACGTAAGATTGTGATCGTAAGTGGTTAACGTCAAGACAAATACAAAGTGAATACCAAATGCTAACCTTGGTAGTAAGTGTAGCACTGTGAAGGATGTCCCCGGGCCAGAACAGCTGTGACGCAACAGTGACAGCCGTCAGACTCATACTAACGTTTCCGCCGGCGTCAAACGTCGTGTCCAAGTTGTGTTCGTCGTGGAAGATGTGTTTACGTACGGCGTTATGCAACATGGCAAGTATGATGGAAAACCCACCGAACCCGAGCAGCATCAGCAAGGCCGACTCGTGCTTCTCTAATACCGCCTTAGGTCTGAAACACAAAAGGGAGATTTGATGAAACAACTGTTGTAATGTCATAAACAGATGGAATTCTTTTGTATCACCTGTAGTAATATTGAGTAACCATGATAAAATTAATTACAGTGCGATTACGTTGTCTTTTTAGATCCGGGGCACACGAAAATATAACATGAAGGTCTAGATAACTCCTGATACCGCTTGTAAATTTAGGAATGTTTCATGTTTCATGCTGCTTTTCGGAATAGTGCAATTCTAAATTTAGTTTATATACACGTCAAATGATGCATATTTCAACCCACCAAACAAATTATGTGAGACGTTTTCTTGATATTGAATTTTCTGTTCATGTCCTAGGTAATGTACACTGGTAAATTTTTATACTACAACCCATTCACTTCGTTTGTTGGACCCCTAGCCATTTTGTTAAGCATTTGAAAACTAGCCTAATAAAGTATTCTAATATGTCAGAGAAAATGTAATGTGCAGTCAAAGTTTATATGTAGGATGTCGTTGATGAAGCAGAAGACGCTTGCTCTTTCGGAACACCTGTTTTTTTTTTTTTTTCTGGAGTCTTGGTGTATTATTATTTTTTTATTCAGTTTGCTCTACATGTTGTAATTTTATTGTTGTTTTTTAACATTGTTATACCTAAAGGTTTTGATTGTAGTTTTTCGACCTGAAGTTATGGTTCTCTTTTTAAGAATCAATATGATTGTCCAGTTCTCACATCCACTGACATTAAACATTTACTGTCGTGAGACAATGTTTTATAACTACAGGGTTTATCCGACATCAAATTATCTAAAGGTCAATGTCAGTGATAATAGAAATGTGTTTTCAGTTTACACTTCTACTGGGCCATCCTCATATCAAAAATACAGCATTTCTTGCTGGTCTTCAAATATCGCGGCGCTCCATTACACAAAATTACAATAAAAGTCGTGACAAGGCGCACTCATTGCTGTTCCACATGTCAACAAAAATGGCTGTTCTATTATCAACAAAGATGGCTGTTCTATTATCAACAAAGATGGTTGTTCTATTATCAACAAAGATGATTGTTTTGTTTTCAACAAAGATGGCAGTTCTATTATCAACAAAGATGGCTGTTCTATTATCAACGAAAATGGATGTTCTATTATCAACAAAGATGGCTGTTCTATTATCAACAAAGATGGTTGTTCTATTATCCACAAAGATTATTGTTTTGTTTTCAACAAAGATGGCAGTTCTATTATCAACAAAAATGGCAGTTCTATTATCAACAAAGATGGTTGTTCTATTATCAACAAAGATGATTGTTCTGTTTTCAACAAAGATGGCAGTTCTATTATCAACAAAAATGGCTGTTCTATTATCAACAAAGATGGTTGTTCTATTATCAACAAAGATGATTGTTTTGTTTTCAACAAAGATGGCAGTTCTATTATCAACAAAGAATGCAGTTCTGTTATCAACAAAAATGGCTGTTCTATTATCAACAAAGATGGTTGTTCTATTATCAACAAAGATGATTGTTCTGTTTTCAACAAAGATGGCTGTTCTATTATCAACAAAGATGGCTGTTCTATTATCAACAAAAATGGCTGTTCTATTATCAACAAAAATGGATGTTCTATTATCAACAAAGATGGTTGTTTTGTTTTCAACAAAGATGGCTGTTCTATTATCAACAAAGATGATTGTTTTGTTTTCAACAAAGATGGCTGTTCTATTATCAACAAAGATGGCTGTTCTATTATCAACAAAAATGGATGTTCTATTATCAACAAAGATGGTTGTTTTGTTTTCAACAAAGATGGCTGTTCTATTATCAACAAAAATGGCTGTTCTATCATCTACATAGATGGTTGTTTCACCATTAAACATAATAGCTGTATAACATATAAAAAAAGTTGTCCTACTTATAAACAAAAATGGCCGGTCCAATTATAAACAAAACCACTGTTCTACTAGTTGTTCCACTATCAACAAAAATAGTTGTTTCACTGTCAACAAAAATAGTTGTTCCACTGTCAACAAAAATAGTTGTTCCACTGTCAACAAAAATAGTTGTTTCACTGTCAACAAAAATAGTTATTTCACTGTCAACAAAAATAGTTGTTTCACTGTCAACAAAAATAGTTGTTTCACTGTCAACAAAAATAGTTGTTCCACTGTCAACAAAAATAGTTGTTCCACTATCAACGAGGAGAATAACAAAGTATTTTACTTACAAATTTATGTATAACAAAGTTTTGGTACTCTGCGATCAATCATGAATTAACAAATAATATCCAAATTGTGTCAGGTTTGGTTTAAACATCTTTTACTTCATTAAGACAACACAAATATAACCACATTTACAGAAACAAAGACTGCGGATCAGTTCTTCTCCTAGTTTATTGTGATGTGCCGTAGGTTATCCTTCATCAATTGTGTTTTTCAAGGACTATGCAATGCAGGTATCGTCGACGAAGCCGAGAGGTCTTATCGTTCCAGAACTCTTGATAGGAATTCTCTTTTTCATTGTACACGGACGCGTACTATTACATCTACGTCTGTCTTCTTGCTATTGTCTTACTCATGTTTTATGTCGCCCTGCAGGATCAACCTTTTTCTCTGATACTTAAGACCACAAGAAATCGGAATACAGGTTATAAACGGTACTGATTTATGTTCCAAATCAGATGAAAGATTTTTTTAGAGTTGTCTTTTGTCATTTCAGGAAGAGCTTTTGTACCGAAACAAATCCATTGTAAATACTGAATTGCCTGGCGACTACGTAGAGACACGAGTTTGTGCAAGCTTATTTGTATTTCCAATATAAGGTAAGTATAGATCAACTGGAAGCTGGTCTTTTTCAGGTAAAATTAGGAATTCTAATCAGCTTCAATATATTGTAAAAATATGTAACATGTCTGTTGTGATATGAAATACTTCGATTTTTTACAGTTGATGTATTGTCGGGAAGAGTTGAAAGTCGCTGCGGGGGTATAATCCATTATGATATGTATTTATGATAAGGTGACAAGGCGGTAACGGCAAATCAATTACTGAAAATTGATGGATGAAAAATTAATGTTTAATTTAAAGTCAACTGAAAGGACTAAGGAAGGAACGATAAAGGTCGTCAATATTTGTCGAATAGATACAATGAACATGTCTATTCCGAGATACAAGTAGGCATATATTAAACATACAGTTCTATTGTGATTTTGTGATGTGTAGTCAGAAAACAGCATATGTAAAATAGTAGATAGAAAACACAAAGCCGCTGAACAGAACCACGGAAGAATGAAGAAAACTTTTTTAATGTCATTTATCGACGAAAATTACTAAAACGTACAGTAATGCCTGATGACAATGCGATCTTTGTACCAACATGTAAACATGTCGTTGGAAGGTATTGTGTGTAACAGACAGGCTCCATACAGTGGCAGAACTTTGCCGGCAACATTCAAAAGATTCGCTTCTGCAATAAAACTTCCAAATCAGTCATCAGGATATGTGGGCTATCAGGCGACCTCCTCCTGGTGACCCCTTAATCTCCTGATGACCTCCTGACCTCCTAACCTCCTAACCTCCTGGTGACCTTCCAAGGTTATCATTTCCTTTTTGCAAGTATAACTGTTGAAAGTGCAGACAATTAATCCACTCTAGGGATAGAGGGACTCTAACGAATGGGTGAATAGTCTCCATCCCTTTTTAGACGTGTGGAATGAGAGGTCTATGAACGAGAGAGCACAAGTATCGTCCTGATGTAAAATTAAAACGTCAACACCTGTATAGTTATTTTGTTGTAGATGTACCAGAAGGAGTGATGTTCTAGACGGAGGGGTGATGTACCAGAAGGAGTGTTGTTCCAGAAGGAAGGTGCGTACCAAAAGGAGGGGTGATGCACCAGAAGCTGGGGTGTTGTACCAGAAGAAGGGGTGATGCACCAGAAGGAGTGTTGTTCCAAAAGGAGGGGTGTGTACCAGAAGGAGTGTTGTTCCAGAAGGAAGGTGCGTACCAAAAGGAGGGGTGATGCACCAGAAGCTGGGGTGTTGTACCAGAAGAAGGGGTGATGCACCAGAAGGAGTGTTGTTCCAAAAGGAGGGGTGTGTACCAGAAAGAGGGGTGATGCACCAGAAGGAGTGTTGTACCAGAAACAGGAGTGTTCTACCAGAAGGAGGGGTGTTGTACCAGAAGGAGGGGTGAGGCACCAGAAGGAGGGGTGTTGTACCAGAAACAGGAGTGTTGTACCAGAAACTGGGGTGTTGTACCAGAAGGAGGGGTGTTGTATCAGAAGGAGGAGTGTAGTACCAGAAGCTGGGGTGTTGTATCAGAAGGAGGGGTGATGCACCAGAAGGAGGGGTGATGTACCAGAAGGAGGGGTGTTGTACCAGAAGGAGGGGTAATGTACCAGAAGGAGGGGTGTTGTATCAGAAGGAGGGGTGATGCACCAGAAGGAGGGAGGTTGTTCCAGAAGGAGGGTGATGTACCAGAAGGAGGGGTGATGCACCAGAAGGAGGGGTGATGTACCAGAAGGAGGGGTAATGCACCAGAAGGAGGGGTGATGCATGAGAAAGAGGGGTGATGTACCAGAAGGAGGAGTGATGCATCAGAAGGAGTGTTGTACCAGAAGGAAGGGTGATGCACCAGAAGGAGGGGTGATGCACCAGAAGGAGGGGTGTTGTACCAGAAGGAGGGTGATGTACCAGAAGGAGGGATGATGTACCAGAAGGAGGGGTGATGCACCAGAAGGAGGGGTGTTGTACCAGAAGGAGGGTGATGTACCAGAAGGAGGGATGATGTACCAGAAGGAGGGGTGATGTACCAGAAGGAGGGGTAATGTTCCATAAGTATGAATTAAGTATCATTATGTATGTACTGCATATATTTGTAAATCACATTTAAGAAGTTACATTTATCTGTTTTTATTTGTACATGAAATCTTCATACAATGTGACTTTATGTAATATCACGACTCCCGTGGATGTCCAAGATTGTATAAAAGACGCACAAGTGAAGGTCACCTTTAATATAAATTTAGTTAGATATGCATAGCCAAAGATGATCTAAACTGCACCATGCAGCTGTGTCCTACTTGTAGGACTCGTCAGTGATCAAAAGAGTTTGAAACCTAGGAGGCGACTGAGGAAAATCCAAAGTGATCGAAAGAAAAGTCAATGTCTATATGGAGTAGGTGTTCTATCCCCTCACTTCTAGGAATTTCCTAATTTTCTTACATCTGACAATTTTAGAACAACGTCAAGTACACCACAAGATGTCAAAAGATGAAGCAGAAGAGATTGTTCCCTTTCTTCATCCTGCACATTTTTTTTATACTTTATTTCGTTTATATTTTGCCCCGTTCCATTGAGTTGGAATTTCCCCATACGTTCGTTAGTTTGTATCCAACATTAAGAGTAACTTCATGTAACCACACAACACT